TTAAAAATATGTACATTTTGTTGAACAAGTTTTAACAATGGAAGTCATGTTTCAAGGACTGAATTTGCTTTTTTGATGGTCTTGGGCCTTCTCGGTTTATTAGTAGTGCTTATAGTAGCTCCAGGAGAAGAAAATATCTGCAATTCAAGATGGAGCTGTGGAGTCCTCTCTGAGGTCCTCTCTGAGGTCCTCTCTGAGCTTGGTTGTTTTCTTGCAGAGATTTCATGACCCAAATAGTCATGAGGGGGTGGAGTTTGTTCTCTGTTGCTTACCCTCTCAGTGCTGGGGGGAATATTGTTTTTTTCTTGGTTGCTCCCTGGTTAGGCTGTTGAGAGCAAACCCACTCCCTTCTAGCACTGATGATGATACTTAGTTGGGTAATGAAACATCTGCAAGAAAACAACCATGAGAGCACCAAGGACCCCACAGTCGTCCTCCTTCCTCTCCACAAACCTCATTCTCTTCTAGCACCGATGATATTACCTAGTTGGATAATCAAACATCTGCAGGAAAACAACCAAGTTTAGGGAATACAAATGGTTCCACAGCTTAAAGTAGCTATTCATAGAAACAGGAACAACAGTTTCACCCAAGTTTAGGCTTGAATGAAGAGTATTGAAGTTAAACTAGATTAAACACACACACACACACACATACAGTATAATTGGGACATTGTGAGAGCTCAACAACAATAAAAAGAGTTCCGCTGTCTGCTATCTGGTGTATATGCAAGGGGTGCTGGTATTTTCTCATCAATATACACTGCCTGAATTAATGCAGCCGGGAATTGAGTCTGGATGAATCTAATTTCCTTGTACTAATTTGAAGGAAAGTAGGTAGAAGATGCACTGCCCTCAACAGTGATTGTCTTCAGCCATAGCAACTAAAGAAGTGAACCGTTGAGAACATTTTAATGATTTTTATTAAGTTTATGCTCTTAGCAGTAAAACCAGAATCCATTGGACTGAAGAATTCCATACACTGAATTTCCTTTCTTTCCCTTCTTCCAGTTCTCTGTCCTACCTAAGCTCCACATTCTGAGCATCATGAAGACAACAGGAGATCAGGCCAGGGTGTCATTCCATCACAGGACTGCATGACATAATGTACACTTCTGAATTGTGTATTTAAGATGTATAGCATTAACTGGGGTTAAATACGAGTGAAATTCTATCCTTCACTGTTGGTTTCTAGTCATAGTCAACATTGAATGCATGAGTGAAGGCAAGGGATGCGCGTTCCCCCACTCTCTTCCCCCCCTCTTCTCTCTTTTGCCACCTCCGTCTTGGAGGGTGGGCATTGCTTTATTCCATGTACCCTCCTTCCCCCTTCCCCCAAGCAGTTATGAGACTAATTTGAATACTGAAATAAAACTTTCATTTAATTAAAAAGTTGTCATATTTCTCGAAAATTTTATTGCTGGGAGGAAAAGTTTCCTTTCTGCTACAAACAAATTCATTTCGATTTGGGTAAAAAGATGATTTTGTTTAGCACACGCTATGCAGAAAATAGATTCCCAGATATCAGTGAGAAGAGAAACCAATCCAATATTTAATTTGTAGAACACTTAAAATGTTGGAGCGTAGGAATCAAGGGAGCTGCTTCACTTCCAGACTATGCTGGGAGAAAAAAGATACTTCCTTTTGTTCACCTTGTGCGGAATCTGAGTGAAGAACCTATTGTTCCTATTTGGTACCATGGTCTGTTTGGCTGGACAAGGAGCAACTTCTCATTTCCCCAAGGCTGGCATGTCCAGATGAGTTTGTGTGTATGTGTTTCCTCTCCAAGTGATGCCTCACTAATGTATTGGACTTTGACAACCAGATTCTCAAGCCAGCATGGACATATGCTGAAGAGAACCAGGTTGGGAAAGGTTGGTGTGTGTGTATGTGTGTGTGTGAGAGAGAGAGAGAGCAAGAAAGAGAGAAAAGTGTCATTGTAGGTTCACATTATATAAAGTGACATCCTTCTTGGAGATTAATTCTGCTGCTGAAAGTAAGTCCAGAGTAGACATTAAGATTGTGTGCCCCTCACCGTTTGGCTCACAACACTGACATAGTGACATGCTTGGGCCACCTCCTTTGCTTCAATTAATGCTCCCTTTAACATTGTATATTGATGAAGGTGCAACTTTGATTTTATTCCAATCCTTCATTGATTTACTCTGTAAATTCTATCCACTTGTATCTTCTTTTGGGGGAAAGCTGCATTGCATTATTTAGCTTTCTGGGATGAGAAAAATGATGGTTTGTCATTTGTATTTTATCGTCTTCTTGATTCCAACCTTGTCTCCCTGCTGCTCTAGTATTATCGAATGAAGCTGTATGCCTGTTGTTGCACAAGATCCTATCCATTTAGTTCATCTTTTAAAAAAAAATTCTGAAGGGGCGAGTCAAAGAGCTTCTATGCATATTCATGTTGGCTTCCAAACAGCAGATATGCAAATTAGCAGGCTAATTTTTAATGAGTCCTAGCTGAAGATCCCAAAGGAAGCTGTACACTAAGCCTTTGCTACCTCTCCTGCCAGCCCCCAGGAAAAGATTTGACAAAATTTATGGCATCGTAAAACAAAGCTGTAATGAAGTACTGCATACATCGTGCTATGGCTGACCTTTATTATGGCTTTCTGAAGTGCACCTGGTAGGGCCTTTTCATTATAGGAAGTGACATCCTTCTTAGAGATTAATTTGGCTGCTGAAAATAAGCCCAGGCTAGACACAAGATTGTGTTCCCATCACATTTTGGACCACAACGGTGACATGTTTTTACCACCTTCCTTGCTTCAGTTAATGCTCCCTTTAGCATTGTACAGGTGGTCCTAGACTTACAAGTTCATTTAGTGACTGTTCAAAGTCACAACGGCATTGAAAAAAGTGACTTATGATCGTTTTTCACAGTTACGATATTTGCTGCATCCCCATCATCATGTGATCAGAATTCAGATGGTTGGCAACTGGTTCATACTTACGACCATTGCAGCTTCCTGGGGTCATGTGATCACTTTTTGCAACCTTTTGATAAGCAAAGTCAATGGGGAAGCCAGATTCACCAGGTTACTAGCTTATCAATGGCAGCAATTCACTTAACAACTGTGGGAAGAAATGTCATAAAAAGGGGCAAAACTCATTTAACAAATTCTCACTTAAGAACAGAAATTTTGGGCTCAGTTGGGGTCATAAGCCAAGGACTACCTGTATACCGATGAAGCTGCATCTTTGATTTTGGACCAGTCTTTCCTTGATTTACTCTGTAAATGTCTATCCGCTTGTGTCTTCTTTGGGGTGATTTGTCCAGATAGACTGTAGCTTTAGCTATTAGGTCTGGCTCTAACCTTGATGCTGGCATATGCCTGTTCTTAAGGGTCTGAACAAGGGTTTCCTCCAAACAGTGGTGAGCTTTTCTATACTCAACAATGTAATGATTGGGCTAGTTGTGGATGAAGTCTCTCAATCATCCAGGCAAAGGTTGAATCATTGCAACTGGACTAATCTTTTTGCTCCTCTAAGATGTTTTGCTGTTCATCCAAGCAGTTTCATCAGTCCAGTTGGGCAAAGAGTCTTTGGAACAGGGATTCGTACCAGATCGCCTGATCTGGTAGCGATGGTGCGGGTGGTTCAGAGAACTGGTAGCAAAAATCCCTGCCCCCCCCATGCCCAGCTAAGCCGCATGATCATCAGAGGCTTTTTTTTTTTACTTTTAAAAGCATTTTTTTCGGCTGAAGAGGTTGTAGAAAAAATGCTTTTAAAAGTTAAAAAAAAAAAAAGCCCCTGATGATCGTGAGGCTCAGCTGGGATCGTCAGAGCCTTTTAAAAGCATTTTTTCTACAACCTCTTCGGCCGAAGTGGTTGTAGAAAAAAAAATGCCTTTAAAAGGTAAAAAAAAGCCTCTGACGATCCTAGTCGAGCAGCACGATCGTCAGAGGCTGTTTTTTTACTTTTAAAAGCAATGTTTTTAAAAGTAAAAAAAAAAAGATTGCGCGCCACTGCTGATCACCCCTCACGCGCTTTTCTGCTTACTGCAAGCCTACTTTTGGCATGCACTGCATGCGCGCACCTCACATTTGGTGCGTGGTGCGCACTGCGCATGCACAGCCAGCGAACCAGTAGTAAACCGGTTCAGATTTCACCACTGCTTTGGAATGTACATAGAGCAAAGAATATTGATGCAGTCTATATCAAGAATAGGAGTGTACAGCAGGATAGGTTCAAAGTATTTACATCAGCAGTATCTGTGTAACTACACTTTGTCTATGGAGCTCTTAAACTCAAAACCCAGCGAGAAGCAACTTCCTATTTAAGACTATGCTTAAGACTACAGGCTGCATTTAGATGTCATGGTTACTCTGGGCTTAACATGATGAGGATCAGCTTGGGAAGAGAGTGGGCATACACACCCACACTTTTCTGTTTGCTCTTCTAATATGGCTGCTGTGCAAGGAGAAAATGAGAAGCTTTTATTTCCAGGTCAAATTAATAAAGTTGGAAGGGACCTTGTAGGTTATCTAGTCCAACCCCCTCACCCCCCAAGCAGGAGACTCTACACCATTTCTGACAAATGGCAGTCCAATCTCTTCTTGAAAGCCTCCAGTGATGAAGCTCCCACAACTTCTGAAGGTTTAACTGCAAGAATCAACTCATTGTGGTTATGATCATTTGTGGTTGGTAGATGTCTTCTTTCAAACCATGGTTAAGATTAACTTTATGAGCACGTTGTCATTCAAAAAATAAATAAGACAATCATAACAAGGAGAGCAGTGTAGCAGGAAAGGAAATGTCAGGTTTGCATAGATTCATTTCTGTAAAGTGAATGTAATTAAAGATGGCTAATGCCTTCAGAGACCTTTAAGGATAGAGAACCTCTTTAGAGACAATCATCTGGCTGAGATACATCTGAAATACAACACCAGGAAGAGAATTTGCTGCAGTGGATTTAGACTCTCCTTATTTGTTATTCCTAAACCTTTTTAATAAGAACATGGAAAAAGGAAGGAAATACAGCTGGAAAACCTCATCTGGTAGCACTTTATCATAAATGGACATGAATTAATACTAAATTACAATGAATTTTCTATGAAATTACATATTACATTCATGCCATATCAGGATCCATAATGGAAGGAGGGGCTTGGTTTATGCCCACTGATACTCCAATACATTCTCAAGGAATTATTGTCGATTCAACCCTTAATGTAAAGTGATTGATTTAAATCTACTCCTTTTTTTAACTTTTTAAAGCAGGGGTGTCCAACCTTGGTAACTTTAAGACCTGTGGATTTCAATTTCCCAAATTCCCCATCCGTCCATCCATCTCTCCTTGCTGGGGAATTCTGGGAGTTGAAGTCCACAAGTCTGAAAGTTGCCAGGGATGGACACCTCTGCTTTAAAAAGTTAAAAAAAGGAGTAGATGGTAAATGTGTTTTGTGAGCAAAGAGAAAGGAATTCTTAGAACTGACACTTGGATATGTTGTTGAATAGTAAAATGGGCAAAACTTTCATCTTGGAAATTCAAGATTTGTGTGGGGCTTGCAGTACAGGAAAGTGTATGAACCACTGGACAAGTTTTGGCTAAAGGAAGACAAGCCCTAGAGGGCAAAACTTTCTGCCCCACTTATTACAGCATCAGAAAAAAGGAATCAGATTGTTTGAAAACACACAGATTATAAATAAAATTATTGGTGCCTTAGTTCTCTGTTGAAAACATTGTCAGCATTCCCCTCCACCCTGTGGGAGAGAAAATTACATTCATGTCAGGAAAATGGAGTTACAGTATGTATTTCTTAAGTCAGAGACCCACAAATTGTAGCTCATAGGTTGGTTGAGACCTCCCTCCCTTTCATTTTTGCACATTGGAGACATTTTCCTGAGCACAGTGCACAAAATGAAATCAACAAACTGTCTCCGAGGGGATGTTTGAAGGAAGAAAGATGGAGCAAGAGGTTTCAGTCTGCCTAAGACAGTGCTTCACCTAAACTGCTGAGTTGGCAAATGTTGAACATTCATCACACACGTTGCCTTTATTCCTTATTAAGACATTGGCCCCTGTTTCTCTCTCGCTTTTCCTTATCTCATGATGCAAAGATTCTGCCAGAAGTCTCAATGGTGCCCAGCCTACTCTCAAGATGCCAAGCCTTCATGGCTGCAGAATGAAGGTCAAACCTCAATCATTTTGAGAGGGTTCCATGTCTGATCTACCAGAGGAAACAACACCCTTGATGTATGTTCCAACTTTAACAGAGACATGCTTACAAAAATAGCACTTAGATGTATTGTATATAGTGCTCCACAGTGCTTTCCAGCCCTCTCTAAGTGGTTTATAGAGTCAGCATATTGCCTCCAACAATCTGGGTCCTCATTTTACCAACCTCGGAAGGATGGAAGGATGAGTCAACCTTGAACTGGTCAGAATCAAACTGCTGGCAGTCGGCAGAGTTAGCCTCCAATACTGCATTCTAACCACTATGCCACAATGCCTTTTTTTTTTTTTTTTTTGCCTATTAGAAGCATCATTTCTCTGGCAGGCAATTGTCCATGCCTTCCTGGAAGAAAATACAGCAGCCATGTGGGGATTTTTTTGGTGTGTGGCAGAAGCAATAAGGCCTAGCTCCATGCACAGATTCCTTTGTGGGTTATATTTAGAGCTGCACCTGTGGTTGGAGGTGATCGTTTGTCTTCACTCAACTAATTGAGCCTTTTCTAATGATATTTCTAGGATTGTCCATCTGCATGAAAACATCTGTTTCTTGAACTTGTGGCTTTTTAAAGGGAGAAAACTGCATTAGACACACACAAAAGCATTCTTAAGGCCAGTGTTTACAGTAGAGCTTGCAGGTGGAAATTGCTCAAAAACATTTCCACAAAAAGAAAGGTTCAGGGTCAACAATTCCCAGTACTGATGGATACTATAGTCATCTTTTTTTAAATGTCTGCAGCCAGATGGAAAGCATCACCTGATTCTCCCCTGGGTTCCTGTTAAGATCTTACACTACCTGACTTGTTTTACATTTTTTTTTAAAAAAATGAGGAACCGGCACGATGCAAAGTGAAGCCACCAGCAACATTTGTATTTCTAAGTAAGCCTGTGGGCCCTTTAGCATTCTTAGCACACGATGGGTGGCTGCTACTCAGTGTCTTGTTTGGAAGGATGCCTTACTTCCAAAGATAAACATAAATGGGATATTGTAGGCACCATCTCTCTTAGGATGGGGGTGGCAGATAGCATTCTGATAAATCAATGTGTCACGAAAGGTTATGCCCCTTCTGTGTCAGAAATCTTCTGACACTCTGTCTATGTCTACCAGTAGCTGTTCTCAAGCAGGTTCCTTCTTTAATTTCAAAATCCCAAATAGTTCACAGCTTGCAAAATGTTGGGGGAGCCCATATCTACTTTTCATGTTCTGTTGTAGGCAATGAATTCACTCTGCTGGGATAATGCCCACATGGAGAAATCAACCCGTTTGTAGGCTTAACTTACAATTAGCAGTGATTGCTAATGGGGAACGTTATTACAAATCCCATTCCTTAAATGTCTGGAATATGTCTTGTTGAATTTTGTAGGCTTTTTTTAATGTGAGTGTTTGTGGGCTGGAGAGCAACATAAAGGAAGGAGAGGAATTCCTGGGAAACAAGATTGTGAAAATATGATTTCCTGCACCCCACTGGATAGCTGTTCTGCTTATCTCTGTTTGAAAATACAGGAATTCTCTCTGCCACTGATTCCTTCCTGCTTTGCAAATGTTAGAAACCTGAACCTACTTGTACTCAACCAATGCATAAAGCCACCATTATGCCTTCTGTATTGGTTAGCTAATATCACATGCTATACCAAGGCATCAGCTTGGGATATTAAAATGTCACAATGTTCCACTCAGAAAGCAAACGTGATTCTTCTCTAAAAGGGATTTCGATCACAGGATGTTACCTATTTGTCATATTGATTGCAAAGCACAGACCTATGGCTTGGGGCTTCACCTGAGTCTGTATGGATTCCATATCTGCAAAACTCACAAGACATCCACTTGCAAAAGGCGTTCAACTCTCACTTGCTCCTTCGTTGAATTTCTGCCCATTTGCAAATGTTTGATTTTTTTTCCACCTACATTTCTATAAATCATTCTCTTCTAGTTTTTCTTTTTGTTTTGTAAAAACCACTGATCTTTTCTTCTTTTTTGTATCTATAAATCTCTCATAAAAGCAGTGAAAATGAAAACAGCCATGCCTCTGAACTGCATGTCACAAAAAAAGGCATTGAATTAGAACTTCCATAAAACATTCAGTCATACAGAAAACAGCTTACTCTAAAAACACTTTTGTCGTTGTGGTTATCAAAAACAAAGGCGGGAGAGAGTGGGGAAGAAACTAGTCACAATATGTCCTTGTAAACGTGTGTCCTTCACTTAAATAATCGGCTTGCACACTCGACAGGTGTTCAGTGTGCTTCCACGTCCATTCCTGCAGTTTTATACAGGTCAAGTAGGACATTCAAGAAAGGGTACTGTTGTTGAATCATATTGTTAAAGGGATGTGCTCATCAAATGTTCGGGCGCTCTCTACAATTCAGGCCAATGAGTTTCACAAGGAGGTTCAACAGTTTACAGTCGGCGACTGTTCCACCATTGGCTATAATCCTCTACTCAAGCGAGTCACTGTGCTCCAGGCCAAGGTTGCTGACGTTAGTTGTCTGGAGCTCCTCAGGATCCTCTTCCAGTTCCTCCTCCTCCTCTTCTTCTTCCTCTTCCTCCTCTTCTATTTCATCTTCCTCCTCATCTTCTGTCCCATCTAATGAATCATCATGACCCGCCATCATGGCTTGCTGCATAGCAATGGTGGCATTATCGGAGGAGAGGGTTTGGAGGTTGTCCATATTGATGGAGCCTAGAAGGAAAGGCAAAGAGTTGATAGGATAGGCATTGAAATGTTGCTGTTGACTATGACTTTGGGCCAGGCATCCAAGAACCCACTGAGGCCCCAAACGCAGTGAGGTTGATTTATGTTTTTTTTAAAAAGTACAGTAAAAGAAATAATACACAGAGTGAAGCAATATCTATTGCCTCTTCCACCCTATGAGGGAGACCCTTGATTGCCTACTATCAGGTACTGTAGCTAAGAAGTTGTGTACATAGCATTAGAGGGGAAAAAAAGAGAGTTCTTTTCTGCAAAGGGGCCTATGACCAGGTCAAACCCACCCATCCATCCAGATCTAAATGTGGTTATGTTCTGCAACCAGAAGCTCAAGTGCTATTTGGTTTTTTCATATCCTGGGATAGTATTCTTAGTAGCTGATCAGAGGGTCCTTACTGAGAAGATTAACAAAATGGTCATCCAGTGGTACTTTAGGGCTGCAAGAAGCACACTGAGTAATTTAATATGTGTGTAAGACAAATAGTTTCTCCAGGATATTACATGGTGAACTGAATGCTTAAGAGTGAATCAAGGGGAATAAATTGTCCATCAATAGTTAGCCACTAGATAGCAGTCAATAGAAAATATAGAATAGGATAGGATAGGATAGGATAGGATAGGATAGGATAGGATAGGATAGGATAGAATAGAATAGAATAGAATAGAATAGAATAGAATAACAGAGTTGGAAGGGACCTTGGAGTTCATCTAGTCCAACCCCCTGCTCAGGCAGGAAACCCTCTAGGCTCACCTGTTTTTTCCTCTATTGAGTTGCACTGAGTCTCATTATTTAAATGATGTTCTGGTCTAGGTTGTGGTCCAGTTCAAAGTTAGGGTTATTCTACAGTTCACCAATCTGTCACTTTCTAGATAGGTTGTTGTGATTCCAAGTATTGTCAACTGGCACAGCCTCAACACATCTAACAGACTGAGAATGGACCTCAATGCAAAGAGAGTCAGATGTTGCATAGATCCAGTGATTCTTACCATCAGGGTTAGTCCCGGGGTTGCCTCCTTGTTGCTGCAGAACCCCAGCTGCAATGGAGTTGGGCCAGAATCTCTGGGTTGGCCGGTGCTGGGATTTGATTTTCTTGGCTTTTGGGGCTGGATCTGGATTGCTTGCATCAAGCATAGGTTGCAAGATACGTCGCCGGGCATTGATAAACCTTTCCAGAAAGAAGATGGCATATCAAAATAAAATGCTAATTGTTGCATTTATTTATTTGTTTGTTAATGTTATATGCTGCCCATCTCATGGTTTGAGCTAACTCTGAGTGGCTTCTCGGTTTCTTTATTCTCTTGAGCTAGACAATGCATCAATGCTATTGTTTAAGAAAGACAGTCTGGCAAACTTATATTTAAGAGTTAGAAACAGACAAACACTTATATTAAACTGATCTCAACACTAAATTTCAAGATAATTTCATCCGATACTTCTTCCCAACAGCAAATGGAGAATGTCAGATTTTGAACCCTGTGGAAGGTCTTTCCTGTTGTTCCTGCTTTTATAACAGCATTTATACCAAATCAAATTATTCCTATTCCTGTTTATGCAGGTTGTTCTCATTAAGCAACCACCACTGGGACTGGCAATCTGGTCATTAAGTGAAGCCGTTTCTGAAATCGAAGAAATTTAGAATAGAATAGAATAACAGAGTTGGAAGGGAATCTAGTCCAACCCCCTGCTCAGGCAGGAAAATCCTCTGTTGAAATTGCAACTGTGCTTATGATCTGACAGCTTTCCTTTGCTTTTCAGACTTACAAATTTGTAAATGCAAGGATTGATTGTAAATTATGACTGTCATTATTGCAAACAGTTGCTAAACAAGACAGTTACTAAATGAGGACTACCTATAAAGATATTTGTCCATCTAGCTTTGATGGCCTCCTGAGTTTTTCTGACATGAGATTATTTTCTCCAACTATGCACAGGACTTTTATGTTTTGATTATTGTCTAGAGCTTTTGAAGGAAAGGCAGGATATAAATATACTATAAATTACAAAAAACACCTATATTCAATGCTGCTCGTTGCTGATGATAAGTAACCAGCAGAGGGTGCTATTGAATTAATATAGGTCTGGAATGTAAGGAATTTGCCTTCCACAAAGAGCTGATTTTTCCTCCTCAGAAGAAAACAAATCTGTCTTGCAAATGTTCCACAAATACCAGCGTGAGCCAACAGATGCCAGAAATATCAGCCAATACAAAGAAAACATTTACAATCATGTAAAGAAAGAAACTTTACCCCACAAGCCTCTGCATGTTTACCCACTATTAATGCAAAGATTGGAACTATGTCATTTAAAAACCAGATTCATACAAGGGTTTTTCAAAGGATTAAAATATTCAGTACCGGTTCCTATAATACTCAGGCCTGGCCTTCAAATTAATTTTCGTTCAGACAGAAATGTATGGTTACTTGTGATTGTCAAACCACGCAAAGGGGCTGGAATCTCATAGACAATGCGATCATATATGAATTTTGCCCTGACTAGACTTGCCACGGTGTGGGGGCAGTGGTGAAATCCAATTTTTTAACTACCAGTTCTGTGGGCATGGCTTGGTGGGCGTGGCTTGGTGGACATGGCAGGGGAAGGATACTGCAAAATCTCCATTCCCACCCCACTCCTGAGGGAAGAATATTGCAAAATCTCCATTCCTACACCACTCTGGGGCCAGCCAGAGGTGGTATTTGCTGGTTCTCTGAACTACTCAAAATTTCTGCTTCTGGTCCTCCGAACTGCTCAAAATTTCCACTACCGGTTCTCCAGAACCTGTCAGAACCTGCTGGATTTCACCCCTGTGTGGGGGGATCTGGAATTTATCATGTCTTTGAGTTCTGATCATAAACATGGATCCTCCAGTAAAAATGAGATCCAGTTTTTACAGAGGGAGATTAAAAAAGAAAAGAGTTGTGGTATTTTATCTTATTGACCTAACGGGGGATATTGAATTTTTCCTTCACATTTTAAAAACTATAACAAAAACCAGCTTGTGGGACCCTTGGTGCTCTCTGAGCTTTGTGGTTTTCTTGCAGATGTTTCATTACCCAACTAGGTAACATCATCACTTTACTACTGATGTTACCTAGTTGGGAAATGGAACATCTGCAAAAAAATCACCAAGCTCGGAGGGCTCCAAGGGCCCCACAGTTCAGCCCCGAGCTACAAATATTCGATCAAAAGCCCGAATGTAGACTGAAGTTTTTAAATAGTTGTAATACAGGCAATATCTTCAAAAATATTGCATGAGGCCTCTGGACTAATTTAAAGCTCAATAAATAAATTACATTGAAATAATTGTTGAGACCTCTAAGGGGCTCAACTCTTTCCCAGGAGAAGTGGATAATAAAAAGAGAAAAACAAAAGAAATATCAGTAAGGAAATGGGTGTCCCCATCCAGTTTGGCTTCTGATACCACCCAAGCGCTTTAGTCCCACTGTTCATGGCTTTTCTGAGGGAATGCAAACTCTGAAAGAAACAAGGGTTACCCGGAATGTTTTAAAGCAATCTGATATGACATCATTTTCAAGGCATTGCAAGAAGACAAGTGGCCATTTGTCAGACTTCACAGAGGGACATTTTTTTAAAATGAAAAAGTCTAATCCAAGCCCATTTCAAAGAGAGAGAACAGTAGAAGGCACATCCCATGAATCTTAGAACCATCAACAGTCTGTTCCTATCAGCAGATGGATCTAGGATGAAGTATGCTTTAGTTCTTTAATGATAGACATGATTTATAGATCTACACAGATTTAATTAAGCCTGTGCACTTGTGATACTGATCCATACTTTTGGTACTACATAAGTGATCAGCCTAATCAAGAAAGCAGTTCTCTCTTTGGGCAGGAAACAAACATTTCCATTTGATTATTACACTTCAGGAAAAAAAATGATCTTTACTTACCAGTTGTTGACTTGCAACAGTGTGAGATTTGTCTGTGCTGCTATTTGCCTCTTCTCATCCTCTGTTGGATAGGGGTGCTGGAAAAAGCAAAAGGCCATGATTATCCCACACGTGATTTGTTTTGTTCCGTTACATCAGGTGGTTGAAAGAGTTCAAATTCACCTATCCTAGTGGACTGATGGAGAACAGAAATGTCACATTTTATGTTTCACATCAGGAACTAACATAAGATGCCAAACATGAGATCTCAAGGCTGCAAGTAGTGCTCAGGACCTCTCAAGAAAGGTGATGGTAGATGGTTATTTTCAATGTGATTGTAGATAGAAATTACTAAATAAATGGCAAGGAGTCATATGAACTTTATTTAAACATTTTAGTTAAGTTTACAAGTAAATGAGATTAAATCAAGTATAATTTTGTCCAGGTTCTATTTTGGCTCCTAAAAACTTCTACACCCTTCTTCTGATGCTTTCAGGTATTACCAAATATCCTACCCAATAAAAAGTAAAAATAGGAGGCTTCCTGCATGTTTTGAATCTAAATAATGGTTCATCCAATGCAGCATCATGCATAATGCTGTCCTTGGAGGTGACTAGATATTACTAAGAACATCACGGTATTTAATACAAGATGACAGGATGTCACTCCTGATCTTGTTCCTTCCTTTGTGTTATTTTTGTCCTATGCTCTTCATTATTTCTGAAGAATTGGAGAATTTGCTCACTAGCAGCAACTGAATTAAGGTCAACTGATTTTAAGGTCAGACTGACTTGGTCAACAGAAGTCAATGGACTTAATACATCAGTACAAGGAAGTTAAAAGATTGCCTGAAAAAAATCAGAGAAAAATATAATGTAAGTGTGAGACAGCTAACTAGAGAATCAGAAGTGGGTTTCACCAGGTTCTGACCAGTTCTGAGCACCGGTAGCGGAAATTTTGAATAGTTCGGAGAACCGGTAGTAAAAATTCTGACTGGCCCCACCCCCATCTATTCTCTGCCTCCCAAGTCCCAGCTGGGGATTTTGCAGTAACCTTCCCCTGCCACACCCACCAAGCCATGCCCACCAAGCCATGCCATGCCCACCAAGCCACACCCACAGAACCAGTAGTAAAATTTTTGAAACCCACCACTGAGCAGAATGATATCAGAATCATAACAGAGACTTCTGAGCCTGGGAGATGTTTCCTCAAATTGAGCCTTCAAATCCTGTCTCTAAAATCCTCTACTGTGAAATGACGTTTTTTTTTTTTAATAGGAATGCTTTAAAACTTCATCTGAATTTTTGTTGGTGGTTTTTAGGGCATTTCTTAGCAATTCTGCAGTCTCCTTGACTGTCTCCAACTCCAGATCTGAAAATACTCTATGAAAAAAATTCCTCATGATTGCCTTCTGTTTGGATTTAATCCAGCATGAAAACCAGGGAGGTTCTAAAAATGCTGGAAAGATTATTGTGCAACGGAAGAAAACATGAGACACACCACATTCAACCTATAAGAAAATTAAAGGGAAGACTCCTATACCAATTTCATCAGGAAATTTCATCATGGAAAATTTCTTCTTCAATGAAAAAACATTTTAACCTAATTTCTCATCAGATTTTTTTTTAAATTTAAATTTTGATTTATATGCCGCCCTTCTCCGAAGATTCAGGGCGGCTTACAATGCATTAAGCAATAGCCTTCATACTATTGTATGATTGTATGATAAGAATTGAAAAATATGTGCAATACTGTACATTTTTTAAAATCACCAGCTAATTCCTAGGAAGGCACCTAAAAATTAACTGGGTGGGATCCACTTCAGTTAACGTGGCTTAAGAATGTAGACAAAGTGATCAGGGAAGAGATATTGTTGGTTGTCCATCTGATTTCTTATCCTTGCCCATTTTGGCTACTTAATTCTGCAATCAGCCTCTTAGATAGTACATTTTTTCAAATTGCATTTATATTATTTGTGTTTTGAAATTTATCCAGCTGAAAGTACATGAGCAAGCAGTCTGATACCAGATCAGTTCATTACCAAAATGAGAGGCAGGTAGAAACTATCTTTTCTATGGCAGAATTCGTTTTTTAGCCTGTAACAGTACACAGTGTGAAAAGGACACAAAAATCTGATCCTGAATTTCACCATAAATAGGTCTTGCATATAAAAGCCTAGCAGTCCCTTGAATTCTTTCCTAATAGTTCATTTTACTTTGCTACAATAAATTCACTTATCCATGCTTTGACATCGCTGGAAGCCTGTCCTTGCTGTTTCTTGCCTAGCGAGCTGACACCAATTTTATTTCAGACTCATAATCATCCAGCGTGGTTGCATCAGATCCAAAGACTCGTGGCTGAATATCAATTTTCACGGAAACATTTCAAGGTGCTTGTCTGACACTTTAACCACACAGTCGTACTATTTTTATGAGGTTTCTTTTGGGATCCTGGTGACCCCCTTCAATCACGATGCTGAATGCTGCTGATGCTGTGCCAAGAATTAAGGTATGACCTCCTACCATTTGGAGGCAGTGCAAGCATAAAAATAGCATCAAAAAACAAACCTTCTTGTTTGGCTCCAAGATCTCATATATAGCTGAAATAGTTTTGCTGTTTTGCATCTCCATTGCATCTATTGATGCTCTTGTCTTATCTCCTAATGTTAAGTAATGTGGTCCTCATTATCAGAAAATTGGACACATGTATACTGTTTTATAAAGGACTACTGCACAACCAGACATATCCCATCTAAACTTGTCCAATATTTGGCTAAATTTGCTAAATTTGTGGTAAAGTTGATGGGAAGGAGGACAAAGTTGGTGCAGCAAAATGCGGTAGATTGTAAGAATGATCACTTGATCTAACAATGTAATTTTAAGAGCAGTTAACACTGATTGGGTAGATGCAGGGGCGACATTACAATATAAATTTAATTATATTTAAATGGTACTTTAAATTATTGTATTTTATCCCGATTTTATTTTAGATCGTATTTTATTCTAATTGTATTTTAATTGCGAGTTATTCCAATCTTACTTAATTTGTTTTACCAAACCTTTGTAATGATTTGTCTTTGTAATTCTGCACTTGATATGGCCCAAAGGGCTAATCAATAAATAAAATTGAATTGAAAACCAGACATATCCCATCTAAACTTGTCCAATATTTGGCATGGATGTATAGGTAGTCCTTGACTTATGACCACAATTGAGCCCCAAATTTCCATTGCTAAGCGAGACAGTTGGATTTTGCTCCATTTTACGACCTTTCTTGCCTCAGATATTAAGTGAATCACTGTTGTTAAATCAATAACAGTTATTAAGTGAATCTGGCTTCCCCATTGACTGCTTGTAGGAAGGTCGTAAAGGGTGGTCATGTGACATTGCAACCGTCATAAATATGAACCAGTTGACAAGCATCTGAATTTTGATCATGTGACCATGGGGATGCTGCAATGGTTGTAAGGGTGAAAAACAGTCATAAGTCACTTTTTTCAGTGGCGTTGTAACTTTGAACCATTAAACAAATGGTTGTAAATCGAGAGCTACCTGCATTTATATTCTCTTTCATCAGATCAGGAAGCTGATTCCACGGAATGATTAAAACTATCTTTTATTGAAATAGGCCAACAAACAGAATTATGCAGGTCTGTCCACGTCTTTCTTCTCTTCCCATCCTCTTATACCACTGGGAGGTGGCAAGGAAGTGAGTCTAAGTCTTTTGGGAATACTCTCTCAACTTTTCTGGACTTGACACATGTTTTTTCTGCACCTGGTGTTGCCTTAATAACCTCTGGGTTTCTTCTCCAAGGTCAATCTCCTTGTCTCCTCACATATGTGTTTCTAATTAGTTGTGTTCAAACGGAGATATGCATTAAAGAGAAAACCATATTCAAGCTTTGATCCAATAAATCTGTGCAATTGTTGTAATGCATTGTTGTTGCCTGTTATCCTTCTCATCTTTCCTATTCACTTCTCCTATTGGTATCTTATGATTACATTACTTTGTTGTTTGTGTGTACACTGAGAGCTTATCCATTGGAGACAATTCCAATCACACTTGGCCAATAAAGATTTTTTCTTGTCTTTTGTGGTGCTCATGCTCAGTGGGACAAGATCTTGAGTGGAGAGATGGAGGATATTCTATATTTTCCCCTCCTAAGTTGCATTCTAGCTTTGCAACAATTTTTTCTTTTTTACTTAGATATCACCAGTGGCCAATAACCACTTATATGCAAACTTATAAAAAGATTCTCATGTAATTAAAATTGTCCTGATTTAACATCCCCATGAGAAATAACAACTTCTAAGCTAAAATCTATAGCAAATGATCCAGGAGGAGTTTTGCCTCTCCAAGATACTTATCTGATGGTTATTTCTATTTTAGCAGAGGTGGAGAAGGAAGATCATTTTAAATCACTGCACAGAATGAAGTTACTTAGTGGGCTGGAGACTTGATTACATTTATGAATGGATTGCCTATGGATGTAAAACTTTGTATGGATAAATATAATGAAATATGGGATTCATTTGCACAAAAACAGTAAGTTAAAAACATGGTAGTTATATAAGTGTATTAGAATTTATTACACACACGCACATACGCTGTTTACATTAGATAGTTATATATGGAATAAGCTCAATTAACAATTGCTTACAATTTAATTTTGAAAGTTTCTTAAAGTGGTTTGAATTGTTTTATACTCAAGAAGTAAAACTGTCATTTTTCCAGTTGGATTTCCTTAACCAGAGAAAAAGACATGGGTCCAGTTACTCATATCTTGGTAATACTAGACTGCTGTGAGCCCTTTGGGTAGGTTTGTCTTCAAAGACCCTTCAGCTGATGGAAAATGCCATCTCTTGTGTGCTAGCTGGAGTGAGATATTGAACTCACAGTAAGCAGATCTTAAGGGAGTATCTCTATTGTTGATGTTATTATTATTGTACACATTATTTTTTTTTAAAAAAACATCCTTGTTTACCTATTAAAAATGAAGGCTGGGAGGGAAAAGGAGGATACGTATTGGAGCAACTGTTCCTTTGCGTAGGTCACAGAAGTTATTTGGGTGGTTTCCCACTTGCCAACATTTCTAGGGGTGGCATGGTGGCTCAGTGGTTAAGATTCCTGTTGGCTGGAAAACCAGCAACCTGGGTTTGATACCCATGTGATGGGGTGAGCTTTTGTCCTTGCTCCTGCCAACCTAGCAGTTCAAAAGCATGCAACTGCGAGGAGATTAATAGGTACCATGTTGGTGGGAAGGTAACAGCACTCCACATGACCTTGGGAATGTCTTCGGACAGCACTGGCTCAATGGCCTTGAATCAGAGATGAGTACCTCCCGCTTTAGTTGGCAACAACTAATGTGAGTAAAATCCACAGGGACTCCTAAAATATTCTTGATCTTCTACTAACAGATGAGGAATATATTACTTCACACTGCACTGCTGAGTGCCAGCAAATATATTTCTGCTTTTATTTCAACTCTTATGAACCAGAGGCCTACTTAACTTACTTAGCTTAAGGACCATTTTCAACTTGCCAAGTTTTGGCATTTTTCTTTATATCAGCAGTTATTGACAAAGAGGGACAAATTAAGGGATGGTACCAAGATCATTCATAGGATTAAGGCCAATGTTTTTTGCAACTGGCCACACATAGGGAGGGCAATCCTGTCCAAAAGATAGATTAGTTTTTGAAATACAGGTAGGTTGTGATGAATGTGATTAGTGAATCCCACAAAATGGTTGCACTATTCAAATTTGCACTATGCAATGTGATATTTCTATGGAAAGTTGAGTAATTGGTTCTAACTCAAAGGAAATAGGCAATTCAATCAAGCTACCCTAAATCAAATTTTGCACTATTTGAACTCACGCTAATTGGGATCTATCTGTAATCAGACTGAATAGTTTTCAATCAAGTCAATAAAACATCACTCATAACCTGATGCAAAAATATTTCAAAATTTGGGGATTTGTCTTTCCAAAAACTCCACTTACTGGGCTTTTGACTTCACCGAACAAGAAACAGAGATGGAGGTATGATAGGCTAAACATATCAAGTTCCTTTAGCCATTCATGATATGATTTAGTCTCCAGGGCCGCATTAATATGATAATATCTGTTAATGAACCATTTTCAATCATTTCTGCTCTCTAGAAATATTATATAGAATATAGAATAGAATAGAATAGAATTCTTTATTGGCCAAGTGTGATCGGACACACATATATACACACACATACACACACACACATATAAGCTGGGCGGCCATAAACATTTTCTAAATAAAGGCATAAATAAATCTCAAACTTATCTTTGAGCGAAGTCTTTTATAATCAGACAACAAAGGAAAAAAAACCCCAGGAATAGCTTAATTTACAATTTCAATTTCTTGATTGCCATATATTTAGAATACGTTTTTGCATGCCAGCATTCCTCCTCATCTGCAATTTGCAATATATATGTAAACAGAGTTATGTACAAATATAAGGAGAATAAAGGAATATATAAACAGAGAACAAACCCCACTCCCTTCTAGCACTGAAGATGTTACCTAGTCAGGTAATGAAATTCTGCAGGAACACACCAAAGAGTCCCACATTTCAGCCATAAACTATAGGGATTATCTTCTAATTTGAACTCTGTATTCAAATGCCATACAGACAGTGGTATTGTGAGAACAATATTAGTTAGACAGTCATGATGTATAGATTTCCTAAAATATTTTGTGGCCATTTTGCAACTGAATTACTCTAGGAGATGGACCATGGAAAAGAGGGATATTTCCATGAAAAATAGGTTATTGAATTGCTAGCTAAATGAATATATTTGAAATGTGGAAAATATTTAGAGTAACAAGTTTTAATTTAGATTAAACTATGCCATAACTATCTATTCCACCCTGCAGCTTCAGGGATAATTGGGACAAGAAACCTAGAATGCCCCAGAGTATAGAATAGAATAGAAAGCGCTGACTTTCTCTCGGCTTGTCGTTCGTTCAGAACTGCGATAGGAAGTACACCGACTTGTACTTGTACTCACCCCCAAAAGTAAAGTACAAGTCGGTGTTTTGGTTCAAAGTCAGCGCTGGGTGTAATCACACCACAGCGCTATTTAACAAAAACTCAGCCCCTTAAACATACATCCGGTAATTATCAATCAAGCACCCCCCACTCCCTTAACAGTAACAGCTGCGAGCACCAGAGCAGCGAGGACAGCAGAATCGGAGAGGCCCGGCAACGTCATCAATCATCGTCCTGAATGCTGCTATCCAGGAACTGTTTGTGTGTTCGCTGCGGCTGCTTATCTCCACTCCTTCGTCTCCCACACCCCCCATCGATGGCGAGCTCCGGTAGGACTCGACAGTCTTTTTCAAAAAGTGCTAATTGCATAAATCTGTATTAATTGCTGTACAAAAGTGTGCTTTGGAAAATCTGCCCAACGCCTTTTTAAATCTTTGGCTGTTAGAGCCAAACCGTTATGAATGGCTGGATGTAAAAACGTAGCCTGCAAGGTTTGGGTTGGTTTTTTTTTTTTTTGCCAGAAATCCTGAAAGAATATCACCACCTCTCACAGTTAGGCAGTTAGGACAAGTCCTACATAAAGTTAGCTGCATCTGCTGAATCTCCAAACATTAAATGTATATTATAATAATTATGGCCCAAACTGCAGGAGATTCTGATATATGATTAGGGTACAGGGGTTAACATTTTAAAAGATTTGGTGAACTCATAAGATCAAGGCAATTTGGGAAAATTGAAAGCAATAGCAATGGCATTTAGACTTATATACCACTTCACAGTGCTTTTACAGCCCTCTCTAAGAGGTTTACAGGGTCAGCATATTGCCTCCAACAATCTGGGTCCTCATTTTACCGACCTCGGAAGGATGAAATGCCGAGTCAACCTTGATCAGGTCAGGATTGAACTCCTGGCAGTGAGCAGTGAGTAAATCTACAATACTGTATTCTAATCCCTGCACCACCATGGCTCCTAAGGATACACATTGACTGCCTTATATACAAGTTTATGCATGCCAATAGTTCTCTTTTTCTGGATTTTGCAGAAAGTATCTACAGAGGGACACATAAGAATATATGAAGTAGCTTATTTCAATATCTAGTTTCTGCTAAAAGTATTGCATTGTTTAAGGCATCGCCATATCAAGATTGCCTTTAAGCATTTCAGAATGTAGACAGAAGAACATTCTTGCTGGATCCAAGTGGTGCTTCAAAGAGTTTTGAATTTTATTTCTAGTTTGAATAGCTAGGTGTCATTTGAAAGCTTTTAAATAGGACAATATGAAGACTAGTTTTCCATATCATGCCAACATGGAGCTTCATCTAAGCATCTTAAGAGATCTTTCTTGATTAGTGGATGAACTAAAGTTGTACAACTAGAAGGCAACAGATGCAGTTTGAAGAATCACATTTATATAATGAAGACTGGGATGCAAGCTTGTTTAACAAGAAAACAAATTTAAATTGGCATGAAGAAAATCTACAAAATTCTTTCCAGCATAACAAGTATAATGGCACCAAAACTTTGTGCTGTATTGATGTCTCTTGGTGGTTCTCAAAGTTTTCTAGCAAATGTAAAGAGCTCTGTACAGACCAATAGATTTTTTTAATAGATGGAGGGATGATCCCTAAACCAGATTTTACATCTAAATTAAGTATAAAATACACTCCGACCTTTTCTTAAAGCTGAAGGTGAAAGGAAACAGTTTTTTGCAGTGACAATGACTTTTCAAAGAATAATTCTTGAAGCAGAATTTTTTTTAATAAGGCACTATAAAAATTGTAGTGTGATTAAAAATCTTTGGAATGCAAATTGAGATGTAAAAACTCTTGTGAGCGTTTAGGACAAAATTTGGTGAGAACACTGGGAAGCTTTAAGATTTGTCTCAGGCCAAATTAGAGAAAAATCACTGAAACTAATATATACCATTACAAATATTATACCAATTATATCACATGCATTATACCAAATTTGTATACCAAACATACCAATGATATTATACCAAAACCATCAAGATTTACATCTAAGGATTGCTGAGAGGAAGGTGGTAACATTGAAACAGACTAGGATGTTTGATGGGCTTGCTCAAAGATCCAACAGTTTTAGAAATGATATTTTGGATATTTGTATGCTTAATAGCATAGCTTTATAGTTTGCAGCTTCTATAATACTAGTTTTAAGCAATCTTAATCCAGGGCTTTAGCATTCCTTAACTAGCACAATATTTTGGTATCTCAAATTTTGCTACTTATACATTTAGCAGTTCAGCTTTTAAGTATGGTAGGCCTTTATTTATTTATTTATTTATTTATTTATTTATTTATTTATTTATTTGTTAAATTTTTATACCGCCCCCTCTCCCGAAGGACTCGGGGCGGTGAACAGCCAAGATTAAAAACATATAATATAAACATTAAAATACAGTTAAAAGAAAATTAAATCCAAAATGGCTCCCCAAATTTAAAACGCCTTACCCATAATCCTATAATTAAAACAAATTTAAAATTTCCACATGTAAAAGGGGGAAGATTTAGGCCAAGCCGGCTTGATGAAATAGAAGAGTCTTAAGCGCGTGGCGGAAGGTGCGCAGATCCGGGATCCTCCGTATCTCCAGGGGGAGCTCGTTCCAGATGGTAGGTGCATTTTCTCTTTATTTTAGGATAACAATAAAGGCCTCAACATTCTGGCACCTAGTCCTTAATTGTCTTACACTTTCTAAGGAAGGGAGGGAAAATCTATAGCCTTGTAGAAAGAAATTCTACAATTTTGGAGAAAAATAAAAGGGGAAAATAATTTTGAACCTTTATTACTCCTTTAGAAAGTGAACAGAAGGAAGGATGATCTTAAAATAACATCGTCTAACCCATCGATTCAATTTTTTAAAAATCTTCTCCAACAAGGTTACTGTGCATAGAAATTCTCATATTATTGGATTGTGGATGTTGACAATCTTTAGACAATTCTTTGAGTAGTATCCTTGTCTTGGACACTAGATGGCAGATGACGTCCTAAATATAAGGGTGTAAGTGAATTCCAAATGTGGGGAAATTTCCCATCTGAGGATTTTGATTAAGGAAAGAAAAAAAGAAAAGAAAAGAATTGGCTCTTTCACTTTGGAAAACTGTCGGTTTTGATGCAGGATGTAGAACTATGTTGTTGCATTAATTCTATAGAGAGAACTATTAATGAAGAGTGAAAATAGGTTAGGGATTTTTTTTTTCTTTCTAACTTTTGGATCAGCTGAAAAGCAGAGCATTTGGGATTGAGTTGCATCTGGCTGACCTAGAAACAACTAGGACAGGCATATTGTATTGAAGCCAACAATCAAGGGAGGGAACAATATAAACAATGTCTTTATTACTTCACATAATGTGGCCATCAGACCAACCCTTTGGGGCAGAAGCCCAGGGCTTACTCTGGAAGCAATGGCTTGCTGTATTTTGAAGCAGTGCACTCATTTACATTACCATCTAAATGAGTAACCCCAAGGCCATTAAATCCAGAGTTTAAAAGTGGTAATTGCACTACTAGTTTTATGCCAAAATGGCATATAAGTTAGCTGGGAGTGGGTCTCTTGCACTGGGGTCACTCAAACACCTAAAGCAACCATTTGGGCCACAGTTCACAATTTATGAATGATAGAAGGGGATCAACATTTAATGATGGAAAATTCAGAATGCAAGAGTTGGCTGCGTCATGATGACATTAGGAAGCTTATTCAAAGCAAGGACAAAACTTTTTGCTCTCATTCTGATGGCTCAGCAGTTAAAGATGCTGAGCTTGTCAGCTGGAAAGCTAACAGCTCAGGTTCAAGACCCAAGTGCTGCACAATGGGATGAGCTCCCGTTCCTGCCCCAACTCCTGCTCACTTAGAAGTTCAAAAGCATGCAAATGTGAGTAGATAAATAGGTACCACTTCAGTGGGAAGGTAACAATGCTGTGTGCACCTTTGGTGTATAGGCATGCTGACATGACCATGGAAAATGTCTTTGGACAATGCTGATTCCCTTGGCTAAGAAACGGAGATGAGCATTGTACCCTAGAGTCAGACACAACTGGACAGGGAAATCTTTTATCTTTTTTTTAACTATGTAGCTAGAGCAGATTGATAGGGTCTTGAAGTTTTTTAATTAGCTAGGATCAGCTCAGGAAAATGTGCTATTTGAAAATACTGGTAGCCAAGTTGCAGATCAGGAAAAACGAAGAAGGCTGAAAAAAACCACCAGCAAGTTTCCATGAAACATCTTACTTCCTAAAAATGGTCTTCCTCTGGTGAGTTTCAAACTTTCATTGCTGAGAGAAATTGGTACTCCCTGACTTCTTATCACAGCTAAGAGCAGCTGCAATGATGGAACAGGGTGAGCCTGGATTTTTCCAAATGGGGCTGCTTTGTACCTTTATTGTTTGAGGGTTTATTTCTTGGCTGACTATCCCAAGACAAGGAAGGAATTCTTAACTGAGTATTTCCCTACAGCATCTTCGTGGATATATTGATTTAACATTCCTTCTTGTCAACATGAATGGTTACAGAGAACACCAATAAATCAAGAACTTTTGAGTTCCGGTGCTTAATGAGTGTGTCATTTGTATGCATCTGTGAAATAAATCACTTCTGTCATATTCAGACATCTTGTTGGCTTTAAAGCATCTGCCTTATGTTCCCTCTGTTGCCAGGCACAGTGATTTTTGTAGTTTTTAAACAGGCAAAAGCAGCATCAAAGCTTCCCTACAAGTTATAACCAGAATCTAGATTATGGGTGGGCAATTATGGCAACTTTATGTCCTGTGGACTTCAACTCCCAGAATTCAGCATGGCTGGCTCAGGAATTCTGAGAGTTGAAGTCCACAGTTTCTAAAGTTACCATAGTTGCCCACCCCTGATTTAGATGAATTCAGAAAACATCACCCTGGCTATCAGCAGGCCTTCTTTGCCTTCAGTGATAATGTCACATAGCCAACTCTTGTTTGGCAATGTAATGCTTACGATATTTGGTTGACTGAGATCAGTTGAAAATGAGACACCTTTGGCTATGCACTGGTGTAGAAGAGAGAACAAATGCAAAGAAGTAAAATTAGGAAATATTTGGCTTCTCCTGATGAAATTGGAGCCCTGACTATATTACGTTAGGTTTTTGTGTTGTAAGCTGAACTGAATTATCTTTATCGCAAAGGTGCTTTTTTCAAAAGGCAACTGGACTTTTTTTGTTTTTCCTTGAAGGTGTTTTGCTTCTCATCCAAGAAGCGTTTTCAGTTCATCCAATGTGATTCTTCACAACTGAAGAAGCTTCTTGGATGAGAAGCAAAATGTCTTCAAGCAAAAATAAAGAAAGTCCAGTTGCCTTTTGAAAAAACACCTTTGGGACAACCATGACCTGGATGACTGAGAATCTCCATAGACATTAATGATCCTTAGGGTTTAGATTACTTGCTCCCTGAATAAGAATATTGGAAAAATCCTACTTTGATTGTCAGAATATGTGTACACTTAACTTTCAGCCGATCAGATCCTTGCCCTGCTATTATATGGGCAGAGTCCATCCTACAGAATAAACTGCCTGATTGTGCCTGATGATCTCTAATGAACAAAGCCAAGAGCCCTACATATATACTTAAAACTAAGGCTGTAAAACAAATCCATCAATGCTTTTTAATTGGAGCAATCCAGGGTGGCCTGCATAGACGAATCCCGTTGCTGCACAGATAGAGAGCAATGAGCGGAGGTCTACTAGTGTTGTCATTTTGTATTCAATAATATGCAAGTCAGGTCAGGTTTTAGAATGACCTCTTTCCAGAATAGGGCATTTGGTCAGTGAAGGTCAACTAAGGCTTATCGAGGTCAGTGAACAATTTGGTGGCTGGACTTACAGAGTACACAGAGCTAGGTTTGCATTCCACTTCAGAGTTTTCTTTTTGTTTTGGTCACTTAGTGTGTTGGGCAGATCCAGCAAGTTGAATTACTGTGCAATTCAGTATTGTGCGAGTTTTTAGAAAATAAATTTATTGAGTAATCAAGTTAAGCAACTGGGAAAAGAAGGGGCAGCTATGCAAAATAAACATAAGTTAGGCAAAACAGTGAACAAAACCCTGAGGAAAATGGGAATGGATAATAAATGCTGATTTTCTAGAGTATTTTTTTAAAAAAGATTGCAAATAATAGTACAGGGAATGGAAGAGTACCTGAAAACATGGGCTAGATTTTGTTCTGCCTATTTCTAATCCCAACCTTCCAGCACAATCTTTTCAAAACGGAATAAAGAAGATTGTGTACATTCTGGAGCAGATCAAGATAGGCACAAAAAGAACAAGGTATGTTCTCCAAGTTGACTTCTCCAAAATGCAAAGAGCCACAAGAGGTTAATCTCTCAGACACACATGTTGATTTTGCTCACCATAAGATGCTGAAAAAGCCAGGAGCGCATAATATTGGTAGCATGTTTTGGGAGGACTCCTCGTTTGTTCTTTGACTTTTTATCTTCACTGTCAAGAAGAGAGGTCAGGTCCAGGTTAACCTGCAGGGCAGGCAGAAGAGAAAGAAAAGCTTCAACAACAAGTAAGGTTAAAAGAAAAGAAGAAGAAGAAGCCTGGGTTGCCATGGCAACACGGTTGTCAATGTTAGTCCCATTTAACGGTGGCTTCCAGGAGGCCTGAGACAGTGTGGTGAGAGACAACAGCACAACTTAAGAGAAAGTGATGTTCATTTGGAAATTAAAGGGGAGGGGGAGGCGGCAGTCTTTACTTCAAGAGGGAGTCAAAACAATCTCCTTGTTTTTTTTTAAAAAAGGCAATACTGGAAAACAGTGAGATCTCATTAATATGTCTTTGTCATCTGTAGAACCTTGATGGATAAAGATTCTTGCATCAAGGAGAGACTTTAGTTCTCACTTTGCACTAAGCCCATCAGAGAGTTTCTTTGGTTTTGACTTAAGAAATCATGTGATCCCAGCCATTTTAACCTACCCAATAAACCACGGTTAAAATAAACCATGCTTCAGCTTGATGTCTAAATATGTAGATAGCTGAACCAAGCTTATGAAATCCTGGACTTACGAATCCTCTATTTAAAAGATAGAAAAGCCAAGGGATCTTTATCTCCACTGTGTTCTTTGTTACCTACTAAGGTGATATCTGGTCATGGACTTTGGGGCAAGAGGGTCTAAATGGAAATTTCTTCCATTCAAAAGTTTAACTCAGAACTTCTAAGACCCTGTATTAACTTGCACGTGAATTGATCAGGTTTCAAACTTTCCCAACGGTTACTCATAACACTATCAAATTACCAAACCTATTTTTATGCCAGCCATTGCAGTGTGTCAATGACACTGTCCGGTTTTTTGAAGGTGGAGTCCTTCTGCCCAAGTCTTAACTTGATATAAAGAACATAGATCTTTCCCACTAGTTATTGAAATGAGAGGAATTCTAACTTAGGTATAGGTATCTCTTTTCTTGTTTGCACATTAGGGGTCTGGAGGTTAAAACATATGAAGAACAGTTACAAGAACTGGGCATGGCTAGTCTAGTGAAAAGAAGGACCAGGGGAGACATGATAGCAGTCTTCCAATATTTGAGGGGCTGCCACAGAGAGAGGAGGGAGTCAACCTATTTTCCAAAGCACCCAAAGGCCAGACAAGGAACAATGGATGGAAACTGATCAAGGAGAGCTTCAACCTAGAAATAAGGAGAATTTTGTCTGACAATGAGAACAATCAACCAATGGAACAGCTTGCCTTCAGAAGTTGTGGGTGCTTCATCACTGGAGGCTTTCAAGAAGAGACTGGACAGCCACTTATCAGAAATGGTATAGGATCTCCTGCTTGAGCAAGGGGTTGGGCTAGATGACCTACAAGGTCCCTTCCAACTCTGTTATTCTGTAAAGCCCTTTCAATGCAATTAACTGAAAGGACAACTTGGCATCTTCTCAGTCAAATGTTGGCTCCTTATTGGAGGAATATATTTCCTTAGATAAATAAGAGCCTAGATAAATAAGAGTGCCATGGGGAGAGGGATGGGCCTGGAAATCTATAGGAAGGGAAATTTCTTCTCCACCCCAAGAGATATGATTAGTACAATCAATGATGCAGCACTTTTTAAATTATTGGTAGTTGAGTGACAGTCATTCTAAAACAAAATAGTCAATTTGATCCTTGAAGAAGTTTGGATCATCCATTACCTTTAGCTTTTCTAAACAGTCAAAGACATTGCATTATTGAAAAATAAGCAGTTTGCAGACTAATTTCATCTTAGCGGCATCTTAGTGGGAAACGCAATGGTTAGGTAAGCAGATCACTGTCTGACTGAAGCCTGTGTGAAACATTTTGTTGAACATTTTGAAGTATCTGGTAAAACACTGGGAGTTTCTCAAGCATTCAGTACAGTAGTAACTATCTGCAATACTGCATCATTCTGAATGCAGTGTTTCATGTCTAATGATAGCAATGTTCCAATATCTAAGGGGCTGCCACAAAAAAGAGGGAGTCAACCTATTCTCCAAAGCACCTGAAGGCAGGACAAGAAGCAATGAATGGAAACTAATCAAAGAGAGAAGAAACCTAGAACTAAAGAGAAATTTCCTGACAGTTAGAACAATTAATCAGTGGAATGAATTGCCTCTAGAAGTTGTGGGTACTTCATCACTGGAGGTTTTAAAGACAAGATTGGACAATCATTTGTCTGAAATGATATAAGGTTTTCTACATGAGAAAGGGGTTGGACTGGAAGATCTCCAAGTCCTTTTTAACTCTGTTATTCTGTTAATTTGAACAGAAAGTTTGATCTTATGCATCAAAGCCCAGTCCAACAAACAAGGGGCTAGTGTATTAAACTCAGCAGGAGAGGACTCAAGACCAATGCTTCCCTTTTGTAAATCCATGACTGCAGCACCTCTTCAGGATCAAATCACTCTCTCATCTTCCATACATTCATTTCTCATGGATGTTGTCTGTAGATGCTTAAGTGTGTGCAAGTCTTTGCTATGACTGCTCCCTTTGGCCAATGCAACTATATTGTGTATAGACTGATAGCTGACCTAATACAGTTCTCCCTCCCCCTTCTCCTGTTATGAACAAACTCCAGTTTTCAGCAGCCTTTGAGTTCCAAGTTACCTCCAATTATATTGCCTTATCCTTCAGTCTTATTAAACTCTTCGAAAATATGTAATTCTCTATTGGCTGGCTAGCTGAATGGACAGACAATACCCAGAAGCAGAGGATAGCAAAAAAATGTCTTTTTAAAAAGTAGTTGAAAAAAAAAAGACAAAGAATTGGGAAGGGAGAAGTTTTAATGAGGTTTGCAGGAAATTGGAAATTTCAGCATCCAGTTTTAAGAACACACATACACCCACCTACTCTTTTCCTCTAGTTCTTCATAAAAAACATTTCTCCTGCATGAATTAAACATCAGGATGGCAGCCCTGTGTCAGGTATAAATGATTCCCTCAGGTGCCGCTTACGATGTATAGCAAGGCCGGGGCTGAATAAATTACCCAGGCAATACAAAAATGACATTAAGAGTGCTTGTCCAGGGCTCCATCCTTTCCACAATATTCCCAACCTACTTGTATTCAACACATCTGATCAATTTCCCTCTAAGATCTGAGCCAGATTTACACATTTCAGAAGAACTCAGATCTAGTATTTGGGGCTTTCCTCCCTCTAGACTCCCACTCAGAGAGAGCTAAGAATTAGGAATCTCACCGTGGAGTGCTGTTTTTCTAGTCTTTTATTAAGCGTTCTATAAAAAAAAGGAAAGAAAACAAGCTTTAATCCAGAAGGTGAAAAAGGGAAGGCCTGGAGACCTTAAAAAGAGCTTGGAGACTGACTAGGTCCAATGGAAGTCCCAATAGGTTTGAATCAGCAGGAAGCATTGGCACATCAATGCACAGGTTTTTTTTTTATTTAAGCTTGTGTAGCAACTGCTGCTATGATTTGCTTCTCATTAATACAAAATAGGACAGTTAAGAAGAGGGAGAATAACTGGGATACATTTCAAGAAGCAGGTAAAGATTTCTGCATACAAAAATCCGGTGGGGAAAACTAACAAGGAAGGCTGTTTTCTACCAGCACAAGATCTTAATTATTCATGCCTCTGTTCTCTGAATCTTTGTTTGAATGATTTAAATGTCATGTGGCTGGAAACAGGTTATATATTTCTTTGATTATAAGTATTAAAGGTAGTGTTAGAAAGGCAGCTGGACTTCTGGTTTATACCCTGATCCACCATCAGGATGTTAATATAATGGAGAGCTGAATGGGGGCTCGTGGTAGTGGGGATCCTGATATGTTCTTCCTTCTTGCCCCATTCCTTCAAGAATAGTGATTGTGAAGGTTGAACTACCATGACTGGACTATAAAAATTAAGGTTAGAGGCTATTTGGTGTTCTGAGAATAGTATGATAGCCATAAAAACAAACGGATCATAGAACAAAACACTCCAGAGTTCTCACTCAAACACAAATGACCAGGCTCATCATAATTTGGATATAGTAGGCAAAGACCCAGATCTCAGGAGGAGACAACAATGCTGGGAAGAGAAGAGGATGAACTGTACCAAAGTAGCAATAGCAATAGTAATAGCACCTGGACTTATTATATACTGCTTCATAGCGCTTTGCAGCTCTTTCTAAGTGGTGTACAGAGTCAGCATATTGCCCCCAACAGTCTGGGTCCTCATTTTACCAACCTTGGAAGGATGGAAGGCTGAGTCAACATGAGCAGTTGAGAATCGAACTGCTGGCAGTTGGCAGAATTAGCCTGCAATATTGCATTCTAACCACTGTACCACCAGAGCTCTTTTGAGGGACTCGAACATAGATGGACTCAGCTATGGCAACAATGGGCACACCACTGAAAGAGCTAAAGACCAAGATGAGGACAGATCCTCCTGGAGAAAATCTATTTTAATGGTCCGTAAGAGTCAACACTGACATGGTAGCATATAATCAAACAGGTAGATGGCAATCAAGAATTAGCATTTGCGGATCCTTCTGCTGCCATGCCTAGTGGTGAGGTCCCAGTAGAAGCCATATCAAAAAGCAGAAGAGAAAGAAAAACCCTTTCTTATTAAGACAGAATAGGTGTATTAGGTTACTAGCCCTTAGTCACACCCATTCCTCATGCAGTACTCCACGCTAATGGGAACAACAGCACTGGTCAGCACCTGAACTCTGAGATCTTTTCACAAAGTATATAAAATGCTGGTCGGTGACTGCAATAAAGATAATAAAGAACAGTTTTACCTCCAAGCCCACTCATGCTATTCCTGTTTCTCTAAACTAGAGGCTGCCTAATGTACAGTATACTAATATTTAAATGTTGTACTTAAAAACAGCAATTCAAACATATCTCCCTCAAAGAGAGAACTTCTGTAGAGGAATAACCTTGCCTGGAATGGACAGGTCCACCCACTCTCCAATTTACCTAATGCCAGGCACATCCACATATTTCTCCCAATGAATAACAGAATAACAGAGCTAGAAAGGATCTTGGAGGTCCTCTAGTCCACCCCCTGCTCATGTAGGAGATCCTATCCCATTCTAGACAAATGACTTTCCAATCGCTTCTTAAAAACCTCCAATGATGGAGCACCCACAACTTCTGGAGTCAAGCTGTTCCACTTGTTAATTGTTCTCACTGTGAGGAAAGTTTGGAAAACAGTCAAGACCTGCAAAAACTTCAGAATAATCTGGTGACTTCTGGAGCACCCTTTCCATTCTTACCTGTGCATTCTGGATCTGAATAGCCCCTTGAGGAATTGCTTGGGTTAGCACCTGGCCCTGAGATGTTACCATAGTTACGGGCTGGTAAAGGGCTCCACCTGGCAAAGAGATAAGATTTCACAATTTTAAAAAGTCTAGTGGCAGCCAACAACAAAGGCAACATCCAAAACCCACAAGCCAACAAAAGTTTTAACCAATCTTATGTGTTTGAAATTGTTTTTGAAAAAAAAAAACCACTGGTTATCAAGGGAATCTACATTAACATCTTTGCCTGAAAGATGTCATGTTCATCCTAAATTCATGATCATAAGGAATGACTTGAAAATATGAACTTTAAACTTGGAGTATCTATGGCTCCCATTGAGGGACTCCAAGTATCTTTCTTGCAAACTGCACCACTCTTTGAAAAGTTGGCAAACAGCTAATCAGTAATTTTTAAGCTGAAAAAAATAAGAAAATATAACAGTGTGTTAAAACTAGAATTGATTTATCACACTTCACTTATTTTTTTAATTGTCCCTCGACAGGGAAATCCTGATTTCATCCTTTCTGATTATTACTGAGCCTCTCACTGGGCCTTTATCCTCCTCCTCCCCCTCCTCCCCCTCCTCCTCCTCCTCCTCCTAAATTGCCTAACCTGTGGAATACATGAATAAACAAACAGCTTTTCTCTCTCCTTAAATTAAAAATCATGAACAAGAAGGTTCTCAAAGTGAAAACAAATTTGTTTATTCATTGATGGCAGCGAGCTTAGGAATTGCTCATGAATGGAAATAGAATATGACTGTACATGGTGACGTGAGGATTTCACCTTGATGGATTGACAGCCGAACAAATGCTTGCATTCAGCAGACAAATGTGATAGATTCGTTTATTGCAATATGGTTTATGCTCATTTCATATAAAAACAGTAGCTCTGGGAAGGTTAAAAAGAAGGTTAAAAACAGAACTGGTGGAAAGATGCATGCATGCAACCTCATTCCCAGCATGCAATTTGCTCTTTGGTAGATCTTCATACGTTGAGTAATAAGTAGGCTTGCAAGTTGGTTCATCTTACTAATTTGCTTACTAATTCCGCAATGATCAGAAGACTTAGTATGGCACAGACTGTACTGTGGGATAAGTGCATTGATTAAAAGCGCAGGCCAACTGCTCACCCTCTTTCATACAAGAATGGGCAAACAGTGATTCTGGAACTCCATACAGCTTTTCCAAATCCCTGAAACAATTCAACTTTTGCTGAAAACTGGGGTCGGTGTGTATCACCATTCCAAGGTAGAACATGCTGAAAAATATAGGTGTACTTCTGAAATCTCTTTCTGATACCGGTTATATTTTTTGGGTCATGATATTTAGTGCAATACTGAACTCAAGTCCCATGAGGACTTAACTCTAAGAAACTTGCTGATTCAATGTACAGATAGTCCTCGATTTACAACCATTCATTTGGTGACCATTCAAAATTACAATGGCACTGACTTACGACCAGTCCTTGCACTTACAACCATTGTAGTATCCCATGATCTAAATTGTCACGTGATCAAAATTCGGGTGCTTGGCAATTGGCATGCATTTATGATGGTTGCAGCATCTTAAGGTCATGTGATCTCCATTTGGGACCTTCTCATCTGGCTTCCAATAATAGGAATAACAATAGCACTTAGATTTATATACCACTTCACAGTGCTTTACAGCCCTCTCTCTAAGCTGTTTATAGAGTCAGTATATTATCCCTAACAATCTGTGTCGTCATTTTACCAACCTCAGAAGGATGGAAGGCTGAGTCAACCTTGAGCCGGTCAGGATCGAACTCCTGGCAGTCAGCAGAATTACCCTGCAATGCTGCATTCTAACCACTACAGCATCATAGCTCTTATACAAGCAAAGTCAATGGGGGAAGCCAGATTCGCTTAATAACTGCACTTAACTGCTGCAGTGATTTACTTAATAACCATGGCAAAAATGGTCATAAAATTGGGTGTGATTCACTTAAAAAAAGCCTTGCTTAATAGTGGAAATTTTGGTCCCTATAGCAGTTGTAAGTTGGGGACTACCTTTGTAAAGACAGATTACCATTGGAGGAGGCTTTCTTGAAAGGGAGAAGCTTTTAAATGTCAATACAGTCTCTGAAATAAAACACAAAAGCCTGCAATGCCTATGTGCTGAATGACCTGGGCAATTAGTAAAAATAAAAATAAATAAAAGTAAAAATTAAAAGAAATTTTAAAAAGCAACATGTGTGTGCACTGAGAGAAATTCTGGAAGGGCTTCTGAGGAATACACACGTGGGACTTTGCAGTGCAATAGACTCAATCCCTAAAATGTGATTCACGGCACATAAGACCTCTTTGCATGCCTGTCTGAAGGCAATACCTTTGCTCCCAAACCACCTTTTTGGAGATGAAGTCCCAGCCCTGCACAGCCTTACTGAGAAGTTGAGGATACAGGAAGATGTGTGTGCATTAACCGATTTCCACACTGCTCTGTCTAGACTGTGCATAGTTCAAATCTGGTGATGGAAGGGGGTTAAAAAAATACCAAGCATGCAAAAGGCGCAACTAACATGGTCACGGACGTATGCTCCACGCCTCCCACCTGTCACAACTTGTGAGTTGACTGTTGCCATGGAGATATTCCCCTGCTGCAGTGCTGAGGCAGGTACCACAATTCCTTGGGGGTTGCCAGGTATGGCTGTCATGGAGTTGGGAGAATTTTGCAACATATCCTAGAGAGAGAGAGAGAAGAAAAGAATGTGGAAGAGAATTGCAAAAACACTTAGGATGCTCACAACAGATAATATTTCAGCGCTAAGGACTTCTTAAATGAAAACAAAGATGGGTATCACCATCACCCTCATCCTTTTTTCTCTAGGATTTGCCTTATTTCCTTTTGATGTTGAGGCTTATAGCATGAGCTGAGACACAAGAAGAGGCTATGGTTATTTGATAATTTATAAGAAGCAACAAACTTCTTATCCAATCCTTAGACAAGATCCACTTACTTTTTCTTCATAAAGCCACAGCTATGCCTCAAAAGCAGCCTACTCAGAAACCTATGCGAATCAGGACCCTATTATCCATTATCCTTTGGAGTTTGCACAGTGTCCGTGCCAATTTTGTGATGCAATTCTCAACTCAAAATCATTGTACATTTGGGAAAGTTGTATGTTTGGAAATTAAATACATCTAGATAAAAGTAGGAAAGTGAGTGAGAGAGAACTTAGAAAGCCCTTATAAACTTAAAATATTTGGCTGTCTGTGTTATCAATGCATAGTTGGGATAAAAGTGTTTGAAAATAAAATACAGGTAGTCCTCAATTTACAACAGTTCATTTAGTGACCATTCAAAGTTGCAATGGCACTGAAAAAAGTGAGTTTAGACTATTTTTCACACTTATGACCATTGCAGCATCCCCATAGTTACATAATCAAAATTCAGATGCTTGGCAACTGAGTCATATTTATGACAATGGCAGTGTCTCTGGGTCATGTGATCCTCTTTTGAAACCTTCTGACAAGCAAAGTCAGTGGAAAAGGCAGATTCACTTAGCAAATGTGTCACTAACTTAACAATTGTAATGATTCACTTAACTGTGGTAAGAAAGGTTATAAAATGGGGAGAAATTCACTTAACAAATGTCTCAGCAACAGAAATTTGGGGCTCAATTGTGGGCGTAAATTGAGGACTTAGATGGAAAAATAGAATTTGAACGGTGGGGTCTGCTGCATCCTCGTTGAAAAGCTGGTTTTCCTGATACATAACCAGTCATTAAACTTCTTAGAAAGTTCTGATTCCTCAGATTTCAACTGAGCCCCCACAATATGACTTTGGCAATTCAGCTTTTAGGCTTCTTGAGTACATTGTACAAGCCATCTGCTCTTCTTGGCTGTCACGAGCCTTGCCAGTAAGACATGCCTTTTGCAAAGGCAAACTAAATTTATAGTGAGACATTCTTTTCTGCGAGCTGGTGGCATTATCAGTATGCAACAGAGGGAAAGCCCCAAAGCAGAATAGATGCAGAACAGAAATATTCAATTATTAAGAAAGACTGTCTTGTAATTTGGGGAGGATAACAGGTCAGCGTTCAATTAATACTTTTCATTGCTTATTATGTATTTGTCTTATCTAAGTAAATCCATATAGCTAATATTACTTTCTTGAGGATGCTGGTCAATATATAACAAACAATGTTCCAGCATCCAGAAAAAAGCTAATGTAATCCAGCAGAAACACTGTTTGTCTGATTTTCTAATTTCTTATTTCTTCGTAATATTCACTGATGTATTTTTGGGCAGACATTTTATTCCATCCTGGCTTGCTATTCTGAAGAGTTGGAGCCTTGTTGCTTCACTGATATTTAAGAAATTACATCTTGGCTTGTTCACAAGTAGAGTTGTGGTATGACTTTGGTTTATTCCAGACCTTATCAGAGGCTTGGCTGTAGGAATCTACTTGATGCTTGTTATTTTTATCACAAATACTCCATCAATTGGGTCAGAGGAAATATAATAGCCGCCGACCCAACATGCATCAACAATGGTTAGGTTGTCTGTTAACAAGTATTCAATTTAGGATTTTGTTATCAGTAACAGAACCTTAACTTGCAAAGTTTTTCAAACAGAGATCCGTTCCTGGTCTTTTTCTAACAATAGCTTTTCAGTAGTTAAACTGGAGAAGAATTGTTAAGCAATTGCAAAGCAGAAACTTCTGCAAATCTTTGAAAAATTGATTCAGAAACTGAGAGCTGGTTTGGTGTAGTTGATAAGGCGCTGGTCTAGAAACTAGGAAATGGTAAATTCTAATCCTACTTTACAAATGAGAGCTGGCTAAGTGTCTTTAGGCTGGTCACTCTCTCTCAGCTCAGCTCAGCTCACAGGGCTGTTTTGTGGGGAAAAGAGGAGTAGGAAGGAGTATTAGGTATGTTCATTGCCTTGAGTTGAATATGAAAAAAAAGGTGGGATACAAATCTAAAAAAGAAAATCTAAATAACTGTCCTAAGGGTGCTTTTCCAAAAGGCACCTGATTTTAAAATGTCTGCAGAATGAAACTGAAACCATGAAGCAGTGTGACTGCAAATAAAACATGCATCCAGGATTCTTTTAAATCCTACTTGTGCGTGTGTAAAGGTGAAGGTGAAGGTTCTCCTTGCACATATGTGCTAGCTGTTCCAGACTCTAGGGGGCGGTGCTTATCTCCGTTTCAAAACCAAAGAGCCAGCACTGACCGAAGACGTCTCCGTGGTCATGTGGCCAGCATGACTAAATGCCAAAGTGCCTGGAACGGTGTTACCTTCCCAAAGTGGCTCCTACCTTTCTACTTGCATTTTTTTAAATGTGCTTTTAAACTGCTAGGTCGGCAGAAGCTGGGACAAGTAACGGGAGCTCACCCTGTTAGGCGGCACTAGGGATTCGAACCGCTGAACTGCCAACCTTTTGTTCGACAAGCTCAGCATCTTAGCCACTGAGCCACCACATTCTTCCAAATAGAACTTTCAAATAGGTGGAGCAAAACTTCAAAAATGAATATTTTTTACAGGAGTTTTGTCGTTTTTAACGAAGCCTTTCCCCAAATAAAACTTTGTCATACTATTTTGTGCCATTCCCTCAATAAGGAAAGTAACACTCATATTTCAATATCAGTGTGAATACATCTGCAGAATAAATTTAAAATTCGGTGAATGAGTAGACAGTCATGCCTATTTGGATTTTCATGGAAAGCAAATATAAAACTTCAAAAACTGGAAAGTCTTTGAAAGTCTGGATGCTTTCAAGTTGCTTTAGCATTTCCTAAAGCAAAGAAAATTTCAAAAATGTCAGAATAACTTAGATGTCTATTGCTTATATTAAGTCCACTATTTCCATATTCAATAAAGATTACCACTTAGAGGTTAGCTAGTACAGTTACTGTATTTACATATGCGAGACAATAACTATCATTAGAGGGCTGAATGATCTTTGAGTTATAATCTAAGAGGAGAGAACCAACCTGGAACTAAGGAAAAATCTCCCGAGAAATGTCCAGAGTGTTAGAATAATTAATCAGTGGAACAACTTGCCTCTGGAAGTTGTGGTTGCTCTGACACTGGAGGTTTTTAAGAAGAGATTGGACAACCATTTGTCTGAAATGTTAGAGCAGGATGTTGGATTATAAGACCTCCAAAGTCCTTTCCAAATCTGTTATTCTGTTATTCTTCTAATAGAGGACTGGCTCCTTCAACCATAAGGAGTCTGTTTTACAACAGCTTCCATCATCTCTTACTATTGGACTTGCTGATGAGACTGATGACAGTTGAAGTTCAGAGCATCTGGAGGGGTCAAAGTTTTCCACTGCTACAATCTTTCCTAATGACCAGATGCTGTTGTATTATGAGCTCCATCATATCTTGGTAGGAGAGATGCTGCACTGAATGTGGTCCAACAATATACAAGGAACCATGGCTGAAAAAGGCTTGCTTGTGCTGTTGGGAGACCTCCTTCCCTGGGAAAAAGGAGAATCGTGCATGAAGTTCTCCATCACTTATATGCCCATCTTTGGAAGGTTTATTTTGAGATTCCTTGAAATATTCATTTCATATATTGAAAAGGATCTTGCCTCATGTCAGAAATGCAAGAACTAGAGAGGGGAAAATTATTTATTTAAATGTTAAAAGATTACAAATTTTCATGAAAATGAATTTATTTAATTCTCAGCCACATTGAAGGCAGGGATATTTTCAAGCAGCAAGTCATTCTGTGTGCATGTCGGTCCCAGGGGGCTCTGTAAAAGATGGATTGTTGTTTGAATAGTGCCACATTCACAGTAAATATCCTAGCTTGTCCTCTGATAGAAACTCCCATTTTTTCTTTGTGGTCTTTAGTTCTAGCCAAACCAGTATGCGGTCTATTTAAACATCTCCAAAACATCAACTTCTTCTCTGAACCTCCAGGCAACTTCTCAAGTGGTTCTATCCAATTATAAAGATGTTTAATTTGAAATTTCCATATTTTTAATCATTTAATCTGTTTGAGGTATAGTAACAATCTCCTTGGCACAATCTAAAAAGCTCCTTCTTGTTTTCAATCAAAAAAGGATCAGAAACCTACATCTTGAATACTTTTCTGCACAGTGAGTAGAAGGTAACCAGCTCTTCTCTTTGTATGGATTCACCACCCTCTAATGATTTTTCTTTTTCCTTCTAGGGCCATCTTTGGAATCACACCAGGCAGTGTGAGAAAGGGGAAGGAGGTACAGCTGGCCATCCAGAGCCATAGCTCCAGTGGGGAATCTGAACTTTACATAAATATTTTATTCCATTACTTGCATGCCTTTCCTTCCAGCCCAGTATTGTACATGTGGCAGAATAAAAACTGCCCAATTTGTATAACTGCAGAGGGGAAGAGAGAGTCCCAGTTCGGCATTGAGCCTGCAGTCTCTTCTTTTCCCAAGACTGCTCGTTCTTCTCTCTCTCTTTCTCTCTCTCCCTGTAACACGAATCTGAGTAATTAACAACTTGAGAAAAACATTAGCAAGCTGCCTTCAACAATGCTGGCACCAGAGTGGGATTTTTATCCTGCTGCATCCTTTTCCAGTGTGTGTGTGTGTGTGTGTGTGTGTGTGTGTGTGTGTGTGTGTGAAGATCACCATGAGTGCAGATGATTCTTTTATTTCAAGCTGCTGGGATTAATTCTGAACCATGACAAATTTCACTTTCTCCCTCTCTCCTCTTTCTTAAAACAGATATGTCATGCCAAGATGCCTTGGAAGAAAAACCTTGACTTTTCAGTGCTCCTAGCCAATTCCTTTGAGATGTAGTTCTTGTAGAGTAGAGTAGAGTAGAGTAGAGTAGAGTAGAGTAGAGTAGAGTAGAGTAGAGTAGAATAGAATTGGAAGGGACCTTGGAAGTCTTCTAGTCCAACCCCCTCCTCAAACAGGAAACCCTATATCAGTGGTGGCGAACCTTTTACTCACCGAGTGCCAAACAGGTACATGCTTCGCTTACACGTGGCTGCTCCCCTGGGAGCTGCATGTGCAACCACACCATCTGCACATGTGCACAGCTTTCATGTGCGCCCCTGTGTGCTGCAGGCACAACCACACCATCTGTGCATGCATGCAGCTTTCGGATGTCTCCATGTGCTGTGCGTGCAATTGCACCATCTGTGCATGCGCACGGCTTTTGTGTGGCTCTCCCTGTGTGCACCAGAGGCCCAAACACCAGCTGGGGTGCACACGCATGCGCAGCTGTAGGTGACAGCTTGCGTGCCCAGAAAGATGCTCTTTTGCCACCTTGGGCACGCATGCCATAGGTTCACATCACGGCCCTATACCATTTCAGACAGGTGGTTGCCTAGTCTCTTCTTAAAAGCCTCCAGTGATGCAGCACCCACAATTTCTGAAGGCAAGCTATACCACTGGTTGATTGTTCTGTCAGAACATTTTTGTGTTCTTGTTGAGTGGCGTAGGAGGCTAATGCCTCCTACTAAGGCAGCATTTAACATCCAGCTGCCTGCAATTACTGCAAGTTCAATTCTCACCAGGCTCAAGGTCGACTCAGCCTTCCATCCTTTCTAAGGTGGGTAAAATGAGGACCTGGATGTGAGGGCAATAAGCTGACTTTATATAAAATATACAAAAGTATGAAGGCTATTGCTTAACACATTGTAAGCCGCCCTGAGTCTCTGAAGAAGGGCGGCATATAAAAATAAATTAAAAAAAAAATTTTTTTCCCCTTAGTGCCAGGTTTTCATCACCACCAAATTGAGGCGAACCCTACTTTTATTGCATTTAGGATGAAAATTCAAGGGCAGAAGATTTATGATTTCGCACAACCTGTCTCCAGTTCATCGAGGCAGCAAAGCTGCTACATCCTCATCATTACTGCATTCAGATGAGTTACGCAGATGGATGACTAGCTGTGGGATGTTCACAAAGAGATGTGGGATTCAAGAATGTAAATAAAGCATTGAATGTGTTTGTAATCAATCAAAATAATGCCACACCACCTTCAGAGAAAACAGGGCACCAGTGAATTAATGTAAATGGTCCAGGGCTAAGACTGGGTACCCACTGATGCTCAAACCCAGAGCATCTCTTTTGAGTTAAAGGCATATTTTCCCACCAAAGCTTAGTGCAAGGTCAGCAGACTCTAGGATCAGTGTCATAACCTTGAAATCTTCTGAAAAGGACACCTCTGCATTTTCCTCCCCTTAAACCAATGGTAACTTAATAAATCGATACAAGAAAAATTCAGTTCAGCAGCAAGAAAAGTACATCTAAAATCAACATTTTTATCAACCCCTTTAAAAGAAAATTCTCTCTAAAATACATACCTATACCAACTAGGCATATGAAGATATTCTGTTCACCATTTCAGGTATCTTCATACCTTTCCCACCTTAACCACACAATCATAAACTCATAAACTACTAATAAACTAACAAACCTCTCGATTTGAAATTTAAAGTAATGTGTAAGAATCCCACTATAAAGTCTGAATACCAACAATAACAAAAACAACAAAAATAATTTTCTTTTTCCTAAAGAGGCTTGTATATACATCAATATTTTATAACAATAATATATAATTGTCATATAACTATTATAAAAACCAGTACTGAGAAGTGTGTAATATTGTACACATACATGCACAGACAGTCATGTACACATTCATTTATTAAACATTTCACATAACACGTAATCCCGATTAAGGCTAGTCCGTTTTCTCCTGCGCAAACACCTATTCAATTTGGGATTTTTGATTAGTCAATAATGTAAAAACAGCTGCACTGTCTGGCTCCTGAATCCAATGTGATGGCCGGGAGATTGAAACTTGGCACACTGCCAATGACTTCCTTGCATGGGATCTCTATATCTATCTGGAGGGTTAATGCATGAACTGAACAGTAACAAAAAGACAACAAACAGTCATGTCACCTCTTAAAGAATAACAAATTGATTATGCTGTAACAAATTTGTTTCCTGGACTACAGCCCTCTCGACTTCACTTCTACAACTTCTTTTACAGCCAACAAGAAAGCAAATGTGTAAGAATGTAATCTCCACTCTTGAAACACTGAAAGAAAGAACCACAGGTTGCCTTGTAAACACATATCAAAAAGAGACATGCTGAGAGTTAGCCAGAATTTGTTTCTCTAAAGAAAAAGAAAGACATAAAACACTTTCATAAATGTCTGTGGAGATTCTCAGTCGGCCAGGTCATGGTTGTCCCAAAGGTGCTTTTTCAAAAGGCAACTGGACTTAATTTTTCCTTGAAGACATTTTGCATGTTATCCAAGAAGCTTCTTGAATGAGAAGTGAAACGTCTTCAAGGAAAAACAAAGTCCAGTTACCCTTTGAAAAATCACCTTTGGGACAAACACTTTCATACCTCCACTAATCTCAAAAGCAACTTTAGGGATTTATAGAACCATGGAACCATCAGGTTGGACTATGGAGGTCCTGTAGTCCAATTTCATCCCAGACCATCCCAGAAAACTGGCTGTCCAAACTTTGACAACCACCAGACCCATGACTCTGTCAGGCAGGGGTTCCAATGTTTAAGAGCATGCATGTTCAGGAATGTCCTCCTTATTTTAAGTTTGGGTCACTCTGTCTCTATGAAGTTTTCACCCTTTGCTTTTAGTCTGAACATTTGGACACTCTAGAGAATAAATCCACACCCTCTTCTCTGTGACAGCCCTTCAAATATCATAGAGTTCTCAAACCACATGCTGCATCCTTTCATGGGGTCCCCCAACACTCTTCTGCCACTAAATTCATAATACAGGTAGTCCTCAACTTACAACAGTTCATTTAGTGACCGTTCAAAGTTACAATGACACTGAAAGAAGTGACATGATCATTTTTCACAGTTACAACCTTTCCAGCATCCCCATAATCATCTGATAAAAAATTAGATGCTCATCAACTTATTAATATTTATGACTGTTGCTGTGTCCCAAGGTAATGTGATTCCCGTCTTGCAACCTTCTGACAAGCAAAGTCAATGGAAAGCCAAATTCATGTAGCAACCTGGTTACTTACTTATCAACTGCCGTGATTCATTTAACAACTGAGGCAAGAAAGGTTGTAAAATGGGGCAAAATTCACTTAACAAATGTCTCATTTAACAACAGAAATTTTGAACTCAATTGTGGTCATAATTATGGGTTTTAATATAGGGGTGTTTTAACTGTGGGCCAAATTAATTTAATTGGATTTTAATATTGTTTTAAATTTTGTATTTTTTGTATTTTATCTGTTGGCTGTTCACCGCCCCGAGTCCTTCGGGAGAAGGGCGGTATACAAATATAATAAACATAACATAACATAACATAACATAACATAACATAACATAACATAACGTAAGTCAAAGACTACCTGTATGCCATAATTATTAATAATTCCCACTTTTAATTGCCATAGGATTGCAATAGATGACCTGTGCTAACAGAAGAAACAAGAGAAAGAAGAAGTAGCAGCAGTCGTATGGCAATAATTGTAGAGTAGAATTATATTTCGAACTGCTGATCCTTCCAGAGTGTCTGTGTTTCTTATTATTCCAAGCACTTGTTCAATATCCATGACTGGGAATAATTCTAAAAGGTCATGCAGTTTTGATAGGAAATAATTAACATTTCCTAACTTTAATGATCAAATGCCCAGTGACCTCATCAGCACTGGGATTTTAAATGACAGAAGCGGAGAAAAATCAAGCCAAAGTCAGCTAAGAAGCTAAATTGCCACATGTTGCTATTAGGAAGCTAATGGAGAGTGGCCAGTAATATGGACATACAATGCCCAGACCTATCCGAGTTGTTAAGGCAAGCTCAGCCAAGTCTCTCCCGATCATATTATGAGTGTTTTCTTTGAGAGTCTTCAAAGATAGAGCATAGAGTACTTTGAAGACGATCTGTAGGCTTCCCACAGCTCAGAAGCTATTGTGCATAGCATCATATAATAAGAAAGACAGAAATACCCTAGAAAATAATTTGTTCCAATATTGTGCTCTTGACAACATCTACAATGCAAGATTATTAGATGTACTAGAAAGGTATAGGAGGGTTTTTCATTAATGGCACGTAGAATCAAGTTCTACCACAAATGTTCTATTGGGAGACATAGGAGGAACTGCTCACTCTGCGAATCACTGCATATCATTGTTGCTGTGGACATAACACTGGAACGGGGATCATTGTGTGTACTGGAAGAATCTCAGGAATATAAATCTGACAACTAATACTTTTAATATGAATATAATACTATGACTACCACCATTACCACAATCAACCTTGATGATACTTCTGATTATGGTTTG